AGTCGGTGTGCCATCGACTCACCGCGTCAGCGAGCCAGCTAGCTCTACGCCTTCATAACTTTTCTAATAATTTTTCGCTTCACACAACCAAGTTTGCCGTCGTCGTTGCAAGWATTTGTGCGAAATTTTTCGGTTTGGCAGATACCTATGGAACCTTGAAGCAGCTGTGGATGAAAAGTTTACATTGTTGTACTTAAGTGTGCCTACTTTGTTCGAGAGAAGACACACTTATGTGGCACACTTTAGTCACAACTTTTCGTAGATTTTTTGCCTTTTGTATTTAAGTATTTGAAAATAAGCGAAATTAGTTAAAGGTCTTAATAAGCGATATAATAATTTGTAAATTTCATAATTTATAATGAAAGCGTATAACGGTTAATGTTGTTTTGAAATTTTTACCGCGTAAGTTTTGTGGCGCTCATAGAGTATTGTTTGTTAAGTGAGAGGCAGATTGGGTAGTATGTGTTATGGAGAAACCACAGCCAATGAGAACTGACGAATGCGGGAGAGCACCGTTCCCACGACAGTCGGGTCTTCGTAACCGGTACGAACCCGGTTTTTTTAACCGATAATGGATTGTCAACTCGGCAAAATTTTTCTGCTACAACAACAACAACAATAACTATGCTAACGAAATGACACGAGTGAGAGAACCACTTTTAAAAGAGCTACGTTTAAAAAATTTAAATCTCAAAGGTTTCTGGGCTGTCGAAAGTCATATGAAAGATCGAGAGTAAAAAAATGTAGTCGAATCTATTGTACCCATTACCGGTTTGAGTGGCATCGGAAATAAATATTTAAACACGACGTGACGATCCAACTATAGAGATCTATGTTTGTGCATTTATATCCGACCAAGAAATGTCTGCRTGGCATGGAATATAAATAAATATCTTATACAACAAAAAACAACAATGGATATTTCTGCAGCACAAGCGTATTTTGGTAAGAAGTCCTGAGAAATCTATCAGTTTCCAGGATTTGAAACGATCATATAAAATATCTGACTTACCCCATAAACGAGTTATGGAGTTTCCTCTATAAAAYRAAGGCAGACATCGTGTCTGGCAGKCCTCGCCAGTACYTAGGTGACTATAGCGATTCGATGCGATGTGATTAAAAAGTAATGAGGTGACCTCACGGGAAGCCGGCTGCCAGCTGGCGGTGCTGAGATGACTCTTACGTCTCGATGTGATGTGATTTGAAAATCTCTAGGGAATTTCATCGGAAGCTGGCAGATCCCTTTGTTTACGTTTTATGAGGTCAATGACCCTTTTGTATACATTTAGCCAAGTTTGTTAAGATTTTGTTTACATTTTATGGGGCTGGTGACTCTTTTGTTTACATTATAAGGTCAATAACCCTTTTATTTACATTTTGCCAGGTTCACAAATTCTGTTTACATTTAGCCGAGTAAACAATCTTGACTCCCTTTGAAAATTGTTCAGATCAGACTATTATACATATAGTTGTCTAACAAATTGACCGATCAAAAACAAGTTTCTACAAGAAATGCTTTGTATTTGTGATGGATTTTTATCTGTTATATCAGATAAATGTATTTTATTTTAAAATTATTAAAGTTATACTAAAAAAATTATATATATATAGGAAGCAGAAAACACAATTTATACCATCTTTAATAAAGTTTTAATTATGCTCAGGGCAGACGAGAACTCAAAAATATATGGTTGGGTTACAAAATATTTTTCATTGAATAAAAATGTAGGTATTAAATTGWTACTTACCGGCAAGTAAATATTGTGTTTTCGAACTGCTGTTGTGCTGATCGATACAAATAAGTCGGATGTCATAACAATTAGTAGATTTTTACACCATTCCAGCAGCATATATTAGAGCGGTTTCAAAACTTTTTGTGCTATGTACTTATATGTAGGTATTAACCTGAAAAAGGAAGAAAAATAAAACACACATAGTAATATAATATATAAAATAATGTAACCAAAAAATATGTATAATAAAAAAATTGGAAATTAATAATAAATTGAGGTTACGTAACCAAACAGAGAACCAAAATTTTCGAAATAAAACAATTTTGGTCCTATATTGCCACAATTCATTAAAAAATTCCGAAAGTAGTAATTTGGTAGACTCGTGAGCCACCACCAAATTAAATTCTATAAATATTTCTCACGTTCCAAAAAATGTTTTTTATTCACTGTAAAAATAAAATACATTATATATTCAGAATTAAATCGAAGTATGTATGAATGTATGTATGTATATACATATGGCCACCAGCACACTAAGTAGGAGCACTTAAACTATCCAAAATCGCAACCAAATCTCTACTCTTGCGTATCTTATTAAATTCTGATAAAGGTTCAACTCACCCACACCCACAACCGTAATACTAGTCATTTGTTATTTATTTCCACCGCATCGTTGGACTCAATCAGTTGGTGTGCTTTGGTATTTYTCGGCTCAGATTTATGCTTTCATGCTTGAAATACTTTGCGCTTTAGCAATTACATATCGTCTTTACTAACCAAACTTGCGATGCAAATGATGTGTGCATAATACATTTTTGGGAATTTATTTGGCTTTATTTTGGTGCCTTTTCGTTTTGTTTTGTGCTTTGTTTCTTTAATTTTTTGCCAAGGTTCAATAACAGAATTTCGCCKGAACCTAAAATGCCCACACATTATTTTGCCCGCTTCATTCGGTGTGCTGAGTTGCGAGCAAAAGGTGAAATAAATTCAAATTACAGTCACACAGACATATGTGCATACATACTTCTATACATACAAACAAACATAGATCTTCGATATTACATTGCTCAAAATATGCACATACTATATAAATGGATGCTTATGCCTCTACTAGTTGCTTATCAGAGTTTCTGTACTCTTTTATGGTGAACATATGGTTGACTTATGAGCTTTCTTCACCCAATTCCGAAGACTAATTAATTTATGGGCGGCGTTTTCATGGCAAAAATATGTATGCTAAGGGCCGTTTCCTCAATTACCTTAAAGAAAGTAGGAGTATTGGTTAAATTAACAGGAAATTAACTGGTTGGTAACCAGATATTGAAAAAACGGTATTAAGAGACGCATTTTTTGATTAACTATAAAATGAAATCACGAAATTAGGCCTAGTTTCTGTTTATGAGATATGATATTTCAACTTAAAGTGGACGGTTCGACGAACGAATTTCAAATGGCAGATAAATTACAATGAACGCAAGCCACCAATGAAATTTGTGAAGTTAACGGAGACGATGCTGTATCAGTTCATGTAGCACAACAATGGTTCGCTCACTTCCGTTCTGGAAATTTCGATATGAAAGATGCACCTCGCTCTGGGCGATCTATCCTTGAAAAARTCAATGAAATTATGGAAAAGCTTGGCTAGAACCGTCATGTAAGCAGCCATGACATCGCTAAGGAACTTAACATTCAACATCAAACGGTCGATCGATGTTTGGATACCACATCAATTGTCTGTGAAAATTTTAATGGACCGAATTAACATCTGTGATTCTTCGCTGAAACGAAATGAAATTGAACCATTTCTGAAGCGAATGATAACAGGAGACGAATGAACGGATCAAATACGGCAATAAAGTGCGAAAAAGATCATGGTTCAAGCGTGGTGAAGCTCAACAAATGCTCGCAAAGCGAAGACTGGTGCCTCGAAAGAKTATGCTGAGTGTTTTGTGGGATTGGAAAGGCATTATCCACTATGAGCTGCTCCAGCCTGGTCGAACGATTGATTGTACATTTTACTGTSAACTGATGAGATAGAAGCCAGCGATCGAAAAAACGGCCAGAACTGATCAACAGAAAGGGCTTCATCTTCCATCAGGACAACACTAGACCACACACATTTTTGATGACTTGGCAAAAACTGTGAGAGCTTGGCTGGCAAGTTTTGATGTCATATCATATAGCCCTGATCTTTCACTATCGGACTACCATTTGTTTCGGTCAATGCAGAACTCCCTTAATGGCTTCAAGGATGTGAAAATTACTTGTCGCAGAGAAACCAGACTGGTTTTCCACTTATGGAACAATGTCTCTAGCGGAAAAATGGCAAAAGATGGTACTTATTTCGGTCATTAAAGTTCATTATAAATTAAAAAAAAAAATAAGTTGAACTTTGATTAGAAATACGAAAAGACTTTTTCGACTACCCAATAACCAAAAAATACCCCTTAAGTTTGCTCAAACGTTGTTAATACCCAGAAGGAAAAGTCGGAGAACCTAGAGTATTAGAGTATCTAATATATAATATAAAATTCTTGTGCCACGGTGTTGCCAAACTCTTCCAAAACGGCTGGACCGATTTTGYTGAAAATTTGTGGGTTTGAAAAAATTGAGTAAAGATCTGAGAATGGGCCTAAATCTATTTTTCATACCCCAAAATGTTGAAGTCCAACCAAAATTTTGAGTTTATTTAAATTTTTTTATTTTTCATGACTCAGTATTGCAAAAGATAATCCTCAATTACTCAAATAATCTCCAATGACTTGCGTTTTTCAACTTTATTCGTGAAATATATTCCATTTTTATTTTATTTTATTGAAAAATGATGGCGAAAATACCAACTGCTTAGTTTTTATATATATGTTATATACTATATATGGTTTTATATATCTTGCAGTCGAATAAAAGCCACACTGATCTAATTGTCACTTAGTTGGCTCTCAGAAATCGATGGTGTGGTTGAAAATGCGGTCTGCTTGTAAAAAGAAACAAAAAAATTAAGAAAATTTCAAATTTAATAGCAATGCCCCAAACTCAACTAATTATCACACAAGCCACTAACAACTTTACCTCAAACCCAACATTGAGTTAGCTCTGCGTTGGATCATTCTTTGCCTTCTCAACGGCAAAATCAACTCGAATATGGGACGCATGAAAGCAAAATAAATTACTTCGGCAAYAGATATGAAACTAAATCCCATAAACAAGCCCATAATGCCGCCCGTATTAGCTTTGGTTAAAAAGTGAATAATAATAATCATGATTTTTTTAGGAAGCTTTTTAGGATTAGAAAAAAAATTAATAAGAGCGCAAAAATACTCACATAGAAACTCTGTAAAGCCGACATAGACATTTTTCAGATCACCATGAAATACAGACTCGCGATAGAAGAAATGCACCACCGCAACATTCTTGTTAATATACTCCATTGACATATTCTTYAGTATACTTGGTGGGGTCAGATAGTTGTAAGCGCGTAAAGGTGTCGAAGTAGCATCGGCTTTATAGCTCAAATCAAAGCAAGCGGGTAAACAACATTTACGACAACTACTGCCCCCATCACCCTTCATCCACTTATTTTCGGCTAAACTGGTACAATTTGTTTGTTGTACATTACATATGGTTGCATTTTCAAAAAGCAGCGGTAAATTGAACGGTACGCATTTGCATTGTTCATAGATATATTTCACTTGACATTCGCTCTCGCAATTGCGTCGCGAGTAATGTGCGAAATAGAGTAAGTTCCCCTCGCCATTAAACAGACACTGGCGGTCATTGCGGCGCAAATTGCGTACGGTGGCGGTGGCTTCGGTACTAATGACATCGATACGTAAACGACTCTCGAAACCCAAGGGCAAAATGAGCGCGGTTTCTCTGATTTTAGTCGCTTCGATTGCATTGTGCATGCCGATCTGGAATAGAGAAATAACAAGGCATAGAGAAAGGGAGAAGGAGAACAGAAGAGAGAGAGAGAGATATGAAAGAAAGTAATAGAAAAAAAGTAAGATGTATACAGTAAGATGTAAAAGAGAGTGAGGTAGATAAAAAARGAAAGAGACAAATAGTACTCGAGAGAGATAAAGAGATAAATAGTGCGCGATAGAAAGATAGAGATGAAAGGAGAAAGATAGRGATGAAAAGAGAAAAAGAGAGTACTTTCTCTCGTCGTAGAAAGAGCCAAACCCAAGAAGAAAATTGCAGTAACTGACAAACCTTCAAAAACTCGTATTTAATATAAATATTATTGCTATTAACTCACCTTAAAACCTGGTCCATTGGTTGTTGAGCAATAATAGTTATCTATTTCGGCGTCTAATATCAGCGTTAGACCCATTGATACACCCGTTCCAGATGCTGCACGTGGATAGTAATTTTTTGGTAAAAGTTTAGGATAACCACTTTCCGGATTCCAATCGATCGGTATAGCGTCATCGGCACGTTCATAGTCGCTAATTATTTTATTAGTGCTGCAATGATGGAAAGCCAGTAAAAAAATCTTAAGACAATCTTTGAAGTCATTTAAAAACACTTACTTGCCCTTAAATAGAAAATCAGGATGTAAAACGTTGAAAACGCAGCAAAGACCCTCATCTGTCATGATTTCATGAAATAGATCTGAGCAGTTCTGTACAGAGGAACCAATCGAACAAGAGAGTAACATACGAGAGCAAGGTTGGGCGTGCTAGAAAAGTGTAARGAGCGATACAATTAAAATTATTGAGCTGATAATGAAAAATATGTAATAGAAAAATGCCTTAAAATATCGGGGTTCCAAAATTACTTTTTAAAATAGAATAAATTTTTTACGCAAGATAATAATATTTGTATACTCACCTGAAGTAAAAATGTTGAAAATGTCAAATTGTTAGACTGAAAATTTGGCGATTCCATTACTTTTTCATCCACTATTGATCCCATATTGCACAGTAGKTTTACTAAGACACCCTCGCTGGAATCGCTGTAAAAAGAATGGAAATATAAACATAAAGTAAGACTCTTCATAAAAGTGCTCAGCTCAACTGAGATCTTAAATTAAAGTAAAACGAAGACTTTCGTTTACATTGTTACGGTTAAAAAGCAAATGGGTCTGGTGGTGAACGAGGGCTAAAAAAAATATCTCCTGTCATCAAGGAAATAGTCGTCGCACTAGCGACTTGGCTCCCACTGGAGCTGTTGACAGTCATAACTTCGAAGTCGTAGATAATTTCGTCTACCAACGGACTGAGTAGACCAAATTCTACAAGTCACTCATCATCCCCGTCCTGCTATAGACGTTGACAACATCTGATGAGATTGCGAGTTTTCGAGAGAAAGRTTCAGCAGAAGATGTATGGTCCTTTGCACATTAGCACACATTATGGACATAGTTCAACAGATTAAGAGACAGCGGCTACGTTGGCTAGGTCGTACCATCCGAAAGAATAAAAACACTCCAGCTCTGGGCGTATTCAATGCAGTGTCCGCYGGGGAAAGTAAAGTAAAGGAAAAACCTCCACTCTGTTGGAAATACAAGGTGGAGAAGAAACTGGCTATACTTGGAATCTCCAATGGTGCCAAACAGCGAAAAGGAAGAACAACTGACGCGCTGTTGTAAACTCGGCTATAAGCGCATGAGAGATGTCTACGCCAATAAAGATACATTGTTCTTTAGACTTTTAGAAAAGTTKATGAGAAAAAATACGGTGACAGTGGCCATTTAGGATTTCAATGCTCTTAATATTCGAAGATCTGATGCTTCGTTATTTTCAAGTTCTCAAGAGTGTCAAAATATGGGTCTTCAATATTTCAATTTGAAATATTTTTTAGTATCGCATAATTTTAATCGTATCTACTTACGCTGTATAATTCGCTACACGRCTCGCCATCACCTGATTCATATTACAAACAGTTATAGCTGGAAAAGGTGTACTCAATATGGAGGTGGGATGTGGGCTTATGCCAATAATTACGGGTGTGCTAATCCATTTGGCATACACATTCGCAATTAGATTGGCCGTTACTATAATGGCCGCAAGAAAGGCGCACAAAAAGAAGAACCTGTAAAGAAGAAGAACCGCAAAATCAAATTAAATGTTTAGTTTTGGAAGCACTAATATTGTATTTCATAAAAACCAAACACTTACTTCTCCCAGATGGTGATACTATCATCAGCTAGATATTTCAAGCCATGCAATGTGGTCTCCTTAAGAAACTTCTTCACATTGCCTCTGCAATAAGTTTTCACAATTTTTTTGGTTTCTTGAGTATTTGCCATTGAACTACCAAAGTTTTGTTTGTGTGACGAATGTTCTTAATCAAATGAACTAATTTATCTAAGGCCGTCGTATAAATACACAGATTAATAGGCTGGATGTATGGGCAAATATGTATGTATGTAGACATATGGCATTACAACGAAGSTACTCATTTACAATGTGGGACGGTCTTCGGAACGTCGATGTGGATGTAATTAAACATTTARGTAATGAGTTATCCTTCGTTTTTGATCTGTGCTAAGTGATATTTAATTTGGCGACGGACGCTAACCGAATAATTTGTGTGCGTGACTAATGTTCGATAAATCGTCTGTTCTGTGACTCATTACATGCATTAAAAGCAGTCGGGGTCTGACAAATCAAAAGTCTTCGAGCAGTGGTGGATAACTGTTAAAATCAATTACTTAAATAGGTTGTATCCACTTGCGCATTTCTTTTCGACTACCCAATATATAGGTACTATATATAATATATCAGATGTACATTTATTTGAGAAGATTCTCATAAAATTTTAAGCCAAATCGGCTAATAGTTCGGAAACTTGAAACGAATTTTTCTCAAAGCAGAACAGGGAGGGCCGTTCTTCAAAACCGTGAGAGCCGTTCTTCAAAACAGCAGGACCGAACAATTTGAACTTTTCACACGAGCTCCTCAGATATATGTATATTACACAATTTTGAAAAAAAAAATGCGGTTTTTATGACATACAAATGGATATAACGTCTTAATAAATTTGTTTTGCTGATACCATACCAACACATTACTTCACAAGTTGGAGAAGCTTGTCCAAAATGATATCAACAATGTGTCGTCGCATTATTTGGGTTAATATCAAATGTTTTTTGATTAAAAATTTGTATTACACGGTAAACCAAAACAGAAATGTATGTCGCGGTTTTGAACAACTGATGTAGTTTCTTTACAGAYCAAGGATGTTCCCCTGTCTCTTATACACATCTAGATGTGTATAAGAGACAGGAAATCAAGTGGAGAAGTGAATAAATGCCAACCGACTGCCTAAAAACTAGAAATTTCAAACATTAATTTCATAAAAAACGAATTTTTTATTGATGTTAGAACTCGAACTTTCCAACACCAGTTGGATAGAAACCACTCTCCAACCTACACAACTTCGACAATGATACCTATCTCACAATTAAAGACTTTTCTAATTTGCATTAACTTTTTTTTTTTTTTTATTTATCCAAATCCATTAATAGACAAAGGAGTACTTCTTTAAAACCTTGTCTGTTTAGTATCGTTGTCCACATTTAGGTAGTCGATGCAGTAGCAGCAGTTGTGGTTGTGGTTGTGATGAATGGACATAACGGTGAACGTAGGGCACAAAGCAATAAAATTAGCGTCGATTCTGCAGACGGAACGCTGACCAGTAGCAAAGTGGAGATCAGCAATAGCGAAACGAGCAACATAGATGACTGCATGTTGGATTTTTTTTTATAAATTTTTAACGTCGCCTATAAACCGAATACTGTCAACTTAGACTGTTGATTGCAATAGCGTGTTAAGTACTGAGAATGTCAATGAAAATATTASGGATATTTATACCCCGAAATGTGTACGATTTTACGAAACAGGGCCATACAATAAGTGAGTATATAAAACTATTTGCGTCGAACATTTTATTGATACAGATGCTTCGAAAGACAAGATCAATTGTCAATATTTGAAAAATTKCATTTGCTGCATTTTTCTCATTCTGCGCCGTTAACAAATATGTTTGTTTACTTTGGTTACGTCTTGACTCGAGCGAATCAAGACATTAGTTGGCAAATATGCGACGAAAYTCAAATGAAAAATTTTTTAAATTACAATTTGTTAGGAAATAGCAGTTGATAAATATTATATTAAAAGTGTTATCTAACGGTAAACACGATTAGTTCCAAGGTTGTCGGCTCTCTGTAGCCAAAACGGTGTGGTATTTGTATCCAAAGGACTACCTTCAAAGGACATCCATCCATACCTACGCTAGCCGGTAGCTAGGGGACGCTGGGCCGCATTTATTTATAAATATTTATGGACAGATTTTACTCATTTATAAGTATGTA